AACCTCTATACAACGAAAGGAGACTGCGACCACACAAAAGGCCACGCCATCTTGGTCTTCATACCTTCGAACAAAAAGCGATTATAATGAAAGTAGTCCAACCTGGAATCAGCCACATATTAACCCGAGAGAGGTCCACCTGTAGGATGTAGGATAGGAAACTTAGAGGCTAAACGTATAGATATGGCAGATATATGTCACCAGTCTGTGTGCTTGTGTACATTTTTAGTGCATGTGCCTAAGGGGAGGTGGTGATTCTCAGATGTTCCACCGGCATTGTAGTCGGCATCATCAGTGAATCTTACCATTCTCCGCACCAAGCTATTTGCCTCTTTGACGAGTTTGTCTCCCTGACATCAAGAACCATTTACAAAAGTGAGGTCTACCCAGTTCTAGTAATTATGATGTTCAGCACTGACCAGCGGGGTAGGAGAAAGGGGTTGAAAAAGGGTGACTACCTCTGCAAACTGCACCTGGTGTCGGGAGTGGAGATAATTATGCTTCAATAAATCCACTTATAGTGACACCCTATTAGGCGACATTAGAGGAAAAGGGAGCACAAAATTATGTGAATAGGTAGACGGGTCATTTGAAGTGGGGTTGAAAGAAATAGATGCGGCACTAAAAGGTAGAATAAAAAATGGGGCGAGGAATGATACCACAACGGTTGAACGGAAAATTGGTCAAGGGAATTGCCTTCACTTGCCACTTTGATAAGTTGTATCTTTGTGCTAACGATGTGCCTCTCAGATGTCGATGAAACGTTTGAGAATGTACCAAGCCAATGGTTCGATGCTGGAAATCACGAATACTAGGGCAGAGGATGCACGGATGGGTTCGCTACCCGACGTTTCTCTGATGCTCTCACAAAGTTGACAAAATGAGGTCGAACCAAAGCTAAAATAATTATGATTTCGAATTATTGTCCTTCTCAAGATGTAAGAAATTATCTTTGAAAATGCAATTTTTAAACCTTGTTTTACCCTTGTTTGCACGCGGATTTGGAAGCTTAGTAAAGTAGCTTAACTAGAATAGTTCTACTAACAATCAAGTCAAGTCCTCAGCCTTACCAACAGCTCCTAGTCGCATGTATAGATTCATCCCTTCCGGGTCCCAGGCGAGACCGACTCGTCGCCTCTTTTTAAATGTGCTCGCTCCACCCTCTGTCGACAATGAGTTCAATTTTCTTCGTTCACTTCTGTCTTCTACTGTCTGGCTAGTCCGTAGGGAAACAAATTCAGTATCGAATTTTGTGGAATCCTCTATCTTATTGGCACAGTCGGCCGAAACTAATCCCTCTGACTTTCTTGTTTGTGTTGAATGCTCAGTAGAACTTGAGTTCGAAATGTCCTGGCAGATGGGTATAGTGCGGGAGGTTGGAAGAGCTTGGCTAAGAGGAGAAGCTGTATCCTCAGGACTGCAGATCTCTCGAATCGGGCTTAGAGTATCCTTCAGACTTGGTTCGCTCTCCAGGCGGCTGGGTGAGCCGTCGCGGAGGCTGCCCACCTCGAAGACATCAATGCAGCAAGAGGCAAACACAGTCTGTAGGAAGCGATAGGCTGCTCGCATATGAAATGCCATCTGGGCCCCATCCTCCATCAACAGTGCGTCTGAGCCAATTTTTTGTGGTATACTATCCACAACGTGCATTTGAGTAGGTCTAATTCTCTTTAAGTAGTCGATTTTTCAGCAATTTGAAAAATGTTAAACAAAAAAGTTAATTACGAAGATTAGGATAAAAATACAAATTAGCCCAGATGTCGGGAAAAAGATTTTACTGCAAAAAAATACATTTCTAATATAATGTAGAAAAGCTGAGTTTAAAAACATAATGCCATGTAGAAGTTAGGGGAGGAGTTAAAAACAGCAGTAATGCGGATGGTTGGGTAAGTGTAGTAGAATGAAGCGAATTATGGGGAAGAAGGATCAAGTACATATTCGAAAACGTGGAGCTACGACTTATTAAGTATCCTATTCCTAATCGGGTTTTATTTTAACTTTTAAGATTTTTTAGCGGGCAAAAGACGAAAGCTTAGCATAGAGCTTTTGGGGACAGAGAGAACAGTCTCTGAGGTGTGCATCGCCCTAAACACCAGCTTGATTTGCTGCCTCACAAGCGGTCAAAGGCCATCTCATTCAGCGAATCTTTTGCTCGACGTCTAAATACAAAATAAAATGACCGAAAATTTCATATATTATAGATTTTTCTCCCAATTTCGTATAGCTTTAGAACTTTTTTTATCGGTTTCTTGACGGTAAGTTCTGACATAAAGAATTACTCTAATTTACAGCGCGTAAAGTTC